AAAGGGTTTAGCCTTAGAAACCCTCCCAATCTCTACACCTCATACATTTCTACTACTCTCCATTTCTCTCAATTCTTCATCCTTTTTGCCAAGGAAATTGAGGGTTTTTGGTTGGATTTTTACAAGGATTTAATCCTAAGCATCAAGAGGTAAGAATTCTTGCTCTAAACATGAGAGTAATTTGTATACATGTTGAATTCTTATTAAGTTTATGCTTAGGGTTTAAGAGGAAGAACAAGTCCAACAACGATAGAGAACTTTTGTGCAATTATTCAAACATAAGGTAAGCAAATCCAATCCAAGTTAAGGTTTAAGCAATCAGATGATTGATATGCATGCTTATGTTTATGAGCTTGAGATTGATTGTTAAGAAATGATATTATTGATCAGTTGATGGCTTTTGATGAGAAGATTTGAGCCATAAGAAGTAGAAATGAAGTTGTGGTAACCAAGTGAAGTTTGGTTACATTTAGAAAGAATTTAAGTAGAATATTTGAAGTGTTTTTCTTGGCCATGTTTAGATTTATTGTGGAGGAGTTTTGCTCCATGAATGGATGGTTAAAGAAAGAAGTAGAGATGTATCAAAAATAGAATTCAAGTATGCATGCATGATATTTGATGAAATGCCTAAGAAAAACTTGTGCATAAGTAGAGAAACTTATTTTTGTGAACATAGCATATTTGCATTGCATCATTGCACTTAAGAAAGAAACATAAGCATGAGCCATCCATATGCATATACTTACATATGCATGAGAACCTAAAGAAAGAATAAAAGAAAAAAAAAAAGAAAAGCACCAAAGAATTAAAGAAAGAAAAAGTGTTAAAGAAGAGAAAAGAATAGGTTGTTGCGATGGGGAACCCGAGAGTGCTAAGAAAAAGAAATTCCCACATACACGCCACCTTAATTGAGTGGCATAAGAAGAAGAAGAATTTATACGACCCATAAAAGTGTATGTGGATGAGGGTTGTACCAAGAAGAATTCCTACATGCACGCCACCTTAATTGAGTGGCCTAAGAAGAAAGAAAGAATTTGTACGGTCCGCAAGAGTGCATGTAGATGAGGACTGTACTTACTCACACGGCTAGGGTTCCAAATCCATGCATCACCGAGTCCGATTGGCAAATTAAAGAAAGAAAGAATAAGAATAAGAAAAGAAAGAATAAGAATAAGAAAGAATAAGAATAAGAAAGAATGAGAAAGCTTGAACAAGCAAAGAAAAGAAAAGAAAAGAAAAACAAGAAAGAAAAAAGGAGCTTGAGCAAGCAAAGAAAAGAAAGAAAAGAAAAGAAAAGAAATAGAATAAGAAATTGAAAAGAAGAAAGAGAATGCATTTTCTATGCATTATTGCATATGCATTTCATTCATGCATATTACCATGACTTCCCTCATGGTTAGAAAGAATTAGAAAAAAAGAACAGGGAGAATTAGAAAGAAAGAAAGAGTAGTGAAAATTAGAAACAGAGAAAGAAAAGAGAAATAACTAAGAATGAAGAAGAAGAGAATTAAGGAAAGAACCAAAGAAGAAGTTGCGGGGATAGAAGAGATTAAGGATTTACTTACTGAGCATTTTTGTGCTCACCTCGTTGTTTCCCATGTTTTGCAGGAAATAGGTGAGCAGCGGTCAGAGGGACGTCGACAAGTGGAGAGAAATGACATTACTATCCACCGTTGTAAAAACTTGTATATATGTTATTTTGGCTATGAGCAGAATAATATATGTTTAGTAAAGAAAATTTTTGGGCCCATCTATTTTTCATTTGCTATAAATATACTTTTATCATAGTATATTTTTCTAAGTATACTAGTAGAAATAAGTTATTACAATAATCCTCACACATTTTGGAGGTTTGCCATTCCCCCCTTTTGTTAGATAAAAGTTTAGGGGGTGTTTGGTTGCGGGTTATCCCCAATTACTGGAGTAATACCATCTTATATTACTTAGATTATCACGTTTGGTTGTTAATTAATATAAGATTTGATAATCTTTCAAAACTAATAGTAATTACTATTGGTTATATATGAGATAATCTGAATATCTTAATTTTCTTAGGTATTTTAAGATTACTTGATAATCTTAATTTTGTTACAATTTTACCCTTAACTATTAAAAATTTTGGACGATAATGCCCTCATTTTGAAATTAATTTACATGAACTTGCTATTACAATTTTACCCCTAATTAATTAATTTTTGGACAGTAATGCCCTTCTATTTAAAATAAATTATAGGTCACCTAGGACGACCACCACTTGCTAGCCACCATCACCGACGGCGACGGCTGACATTGCCAGAAAGGTGCACGATTGGCCGGATCTGGCCATTAATGGTTGGAAACGACCAGATCTATTCTGGATGTTCCCAGCTAGATCGATGGATCTGGCTGGAAACAGTCAGATCCATGGCTATTTGATAAGAGCTTGAAAATACACATTTACGTAATGGTTTATGGGGATTATTTGTGAGAAATTAGGCTTAATTTGGTAAAGTTGCTTAATATTTTCATAATTGTCTTTTATGAGATCACGGGTGTATTTGAGTGTTTTTTAGGTTATTAGTGCTAAATGTTTTTCTCGAATGAAGAATCATATCGGAAATGGAATGAGTGATGAGTAGAAATAAACAGATCGAGAATTGGAGTTAAATTGAAGAAGTTGTGGAGCTTTGAAGTAAAGAGGAGATTCTAGATTACGCTTGAGTTTGAATATGCCTCGGTATTTTGACAATAACTTGAGCTATAAACCTCAAATTAAGCCGATTCTTTTATTGTTGGAAAGCTGATTCAAAGGGCTACATTTCATATGTTACTACTTCTTTAGATTTCATAGTTATCATGCTCAAAAATCACCATCTTTGGAGTGCTGATGAATGATGCGAGAGTTGAACTAAAGAAGAGGAAGTTATCACTGTGCCCTAATACACTTTGTCTAGAATCAACCACGTCACAACACAGTGCTGGGGCACAGTCACAACAATTGGAATTTTTTCTTCTGTTTTTGATTAGGAAAATAAGGTTAAGAGTTTTAAACTAAATAGAATTAAGGAAAATAAAACCCTAACCCTTGTGGGATATAAATAGAATCTTTTAGCATTATTTTAGGGAATTCTTTGGGGAGAATAAGAGAAGGAAAACCTATAGAGAACAAAAGTGTCAGAATTTCTAGAGCTTTGATTCATAATATAGGGAAGTTTTTCTTGTTTCTTTCTTATAAACTCATGTTGATTATTTTAATAAAGATGATTGTTTCTTTCATGTTTATTATGAACTAACTTTATTTTCTAGGCCTAAGATGTAGCATAATCTCTTGATTATGTGTTGAGTTACTTATGTCGATTTATTAAAATTTCTTCCTAAGTTTTATTATTTTGCCCAATGCTTTTGATTCTTAAGGGTCCAAGAATTGAATGAACTAATGGACTAGCTTGAGATTGAGAGATGATGCTTAGTTGGTCTATGGTAGTAAAACCATAGGTTGAGCGAACCTTAGAGATAGGTTACCACGATTTGTGAGGTTTTGATAAACTCCATAAAATATAATGATCTCAAATTGCTTAAATTTAGACTTTTCTTGATAAAATTTGGATTAATCAAATAGTAATAGGATAGTTTATTTTGGTAATAGATAGTAGTAATTCCCTTGGGTTCGACATCCGTATTCTTACACTTTATTACTTGTACGATTTCTTACACTTCCGAAAACCACAACACCGTTAACGGCTAGATCCATGCCGCATGACGTTGGATAGATCTGGCTGTTAATGACCATAGATCTAGTCATTAACGGCCGTTTATATTACCGGAAATGGCTAGAATAGATCTTGCCATTTCCTGCCATTGATATGGCCGGAAACGGCCAGCCAAATCTAGATAAGGTATGACCTAAGTAACAATAAGGTCCAAATAGAACTTGATAGTGACATTTAGATCCAAATAAGGTAACAATTTTTAAATTTTTTTGTAAATGTCTAAAATACCCCTAATATTTTCTTTTGTAATTGAAATTAAAAATTAGTAGATTTATACAAAAATAAAAATAAATAAACGACTGCTAACTGACAAGTCTGGTAAAAATTTAGAGCAATTTCACAAATTATAAGAAAACAAAAAAATTAAAAAGTTAACATTTTAAGGTATTTAGACTTCTACAATTTTTTTTTTTCTCAAAAAAGTGATTCGGATAAGGACCTAAATGTTACTATCAGATTCTACTTGACCTTATTTACTTAGGTCATACCTCAGGTACCAAAATAGATTTAACTCCCATTTTTCTTAAATTAGTCGAGCCAATCTAGTCCATTGCAGTGAACCAAACACCCCTTTAAAATCAATAGAGTCCCAAGTACAATCATCTCCACAGAAAAGAGCTTGGTGATGAGGAATTTGAAGTTTGGTTCTTTTGATTGACAAAACTAAGCTGGTTTGATTTGATTGATCGATGCTATCTATGTGATCATTGTTTGCACTACAATCCCATATGCAAGCACAATTTGCTTTCTGGGTAACTTAGCTGGATTGCCTGTGCAAAGATACTTGGCAGATTTTGTTAATGGAATAGAAAAGCAAATGCAAAACTAAAAGCTGCAAGTTTCATCTATATTTGCTTATAGAAAAAGTAAATGAGATTTTTATGGGTAGAAACATACATACATAAAGTAACAAACAAGCTTATTCCTTCAGCATGCTTGCTACATTTTGTAACAACCCTTTTGAAAAATTCAATTATGCCACAATATTCCAATGTGCTTTTGCTAAAAACTTATATATACTTTGAAGAATATAGAATTTGTTTGTATCACATGGCGTTAAGTAATAAATGGCAAACAATTTGAGCCTAGCTAGTATTTGAGTCCAATGGTGACCATGCTTCAATCAGTATTTACATCAGGACTCTTGACTGGGGTTGACATTGATAGATTTAAATGCCTTTGGTTATACTCGTTTGATGCATCTAGTTCTATTTATACTAACAATGGTCGTTAATGTTCTAGCTTCGATCGTCATAGGTCGCTTTTATCTGAGGAAGTGCTGAGTTGGCGAAGTTCTGATCGCGCAACTGAACTTCTATGTTTATTTGAACCATTTGATTTCGTCTCTATGCGTACTGTCCTGGCTGACAAGCAGTGGCGTACACGAACTGGGTGCCGTACTGTTTCAGTTGAGCAACAACCTTCGACTAACACCACCAATAAAACTTCCTTATCTCTGGTGTCTTCACACCACCAGTTCTGGGGAATACCGTCAACAAACTCTTCTAAGGTATGGAACTCTTCATGATGTACTGATACCTCTGCATAATTTTCAGGTTTGATTACGCCCGCTGCTGGTGCCACCTGAAATGAATACAACAAGCAGATAAACCACATTACATTCACGGCGATCTCACAAGTTATAGCTGGAGGTACTAAAAGGTGAACAAATGGCAATGACAAGCAATTTAGGAACGAGAAACAGTACCTCAAGCCAACGGGGGAAGCCATAGGAGCCTCTTAAACGATGATCAGCTGTATCGTTGCCATCTTCCTTGAGAGTGGACTGACTTTCACAAATGATTCTATATATGGCTTTGTCCTTTGTAGTATTGTTGATTCTAAGAACGCATGTATCCTGGTTTTGAAGGACTATGTTGTTAGTGCTCACTGTAGTTTCCGGAACATAACGTAATTCATCAAGCTTAGACTTGATGAACTTTTCGTTAGATCTTAAAATATCGCCAAATACTTGTCTTCTTTCTGATCTATCAACATGGGCAATTTTAACGTGGAATTTACATTGTACAGGTTTGTGATCACTCTCAGTCACATCCATGCAAGCATCATACCTGTTAAACATGGAGACGATATTTTAGAACACACCACAATCTGGCTACAGGAACAAACCTATCATGAAACATACAGCATAATTGATGAGACCACAGGGCAATCTAAACTGCATTCAGCTGTTGCACCCGCTCGAGTGTCACGATATATAATTCTGTCACACCAAGCCGGAATTCGCTTTTTCTCCCCGGAATCATATCCTGGAAAGATGTAGATGAGGAGAAGTATCAAATTTAGAGCTAGATTCTGCCCAGTACCATCATTTGCAACTGATATTTCTAATTTATACCTGCTAAACCGGCACGATGTCTTTCAAACTTGTAAGTAGGAGGGAATCTTATGATTGCTTCGCGCATTCCTTGGAAAACTTTGCCTTCTTTCATCTCAGCCCTGAGCTGATCCTTTTCTCTCAGCCAATCGAAGCATCTTTGCGAAACAAAGTCTCTTGCTTCATCGTAAGATATACCGAAAAGTCGATAATTAAAATCACCAAAAAATATAATCATATCTGCTTCAGCCAAATCAGGTCTCCCTTCTTCATTAGGGGCATTTGGAGTCTGTGGAAAGCACCAATACCAGTATGTCAAAGTCACAAAATAAAAAAGAGAAAAGGTGAAAGACTGTATTGATATCAGAAAGATGAATGAAAATAAGGACATACATTTGAACCCTTAATCATGTGAACTGCAGTTGTGACACCAGCTGCAACATAGAGGATGAATGGCAAGGCAGAGGAATAAAGCAGGGAAAGTAAATATGTGCAGAAGGCAAGAGAGCAATAGAAAAACAGGCATGACACCATACCAGCAGCAGCATTAAGCAGATTTGTCGATCGGCTGAACACCATATTTCTATAAATGTGATCAAAATCAGCATTGCGCCGGTTAACTGCTTCCAAGTGTGCAGCCAGGTGACAGTTCACGAAGCAAATAGTCCTGTCATACACTCTGATTCTCAAACCTACACCTCCCTGGGTGGGCAGATGCAGCCATGTTATATTATAAAAAGCGTAGCAAGTTAAGAAATCAATGTTAAACCAAATACAATCGGTTCTATAAATTTATTATTTGTATTGTGAGATCAAGCAATGAAGTGAAGACCAGTATTTGAATCACAAAAGAAGAGTCAACAAAATGATTATGATTGCAATCCATCAAAGATAAGGTGACAGGCCGGGTCATTTTGTTTTGCAACTACATTTCACAGCCATAGTCCTGGATCATACGAAGGAAGATTTTGGCAGAAGTGTCTATGTTAAGAAAAATACGCAATATGTGAATCCTGAAGAAAATAAGCTTACACATTTAAACAGGTGATTCTTTACAAGAATAGAAGCACTCATTTCTGATTCTCGAATGGGATTGATTAAGTTAAGGTAGCAATACAAACCTTGTTACCAATTGCTCGACCAAAGCCACAAGGAACTGCCGCTGCATCAACGTCCCCAACATGTGTTCTGAGGTTTTTTCTTACCCTAATAATAAGAGACGAACTTAATAAAACAGTAGCAACAGCAAGACATTAACAGAACTGAGTTGAGATGCCTTACCGAAGTAGACATAATGCTACATGTGAAAAATAGGATAATGTTAAAATTTCTAGCATAAATTTTCCTGAAAATTACATACCAAAGAGAAATGAGCAAGCCGGCAAGCTGCCTAGAACCCATACGTTCAAAAGTTGTTCCTTCATCTAAGGCCTTTCCTATTGTGTCCTGCCACCACTGCCCAATAGCACTCCCTTCAAGTCCTACCTACATTTGGAAATTATTGATATAAGAAAGAAGTAAACATACAAATTTTACAAACAACATGATGAAAATTAAAGCGTGTCAACTGGCCAGGATGTTTCCCAGAGTTTTTTTTTTTGTTGAAATTAAAAATGATCATTGGCAACGTTTAAGTTAACAGGATCTTACAGTTTCCTTGGCTGCAGACATTGCAAGGAACCCTGCCCCCATTTCTACTTCTTGCAAACCAACAGCAATAATGCCAACATCTGAGGAAACAGAACCCAGCCATGTCATAAGTGACTCATGAGAGGCTCTTCCTTGCCCAACATTCCATGTTCCGATTAATATTCTGACATCATCTCTTCTTGCGTATACTGCTTCTTTTACTGCAAGTTCTGATCTTATTAAATTGTCAACAGATCCCGGGGATGTGATACTCCAACCACGTATACCACCATGACTAGCCAAGCTAAAAATGTAATCATCCCCAACAGCAAATTTTAACAGAGGACTACTAGAAGCAACCCATGATGCTATCAGATTTCCCTCAACATCCAGTATTTGCATTACACCACTAACATATCCCACATATGTTCTTGTCCCAAAAGTGCAAAAGCATTGGACAGGACAAGGATGATGAGTAACATCGAGCATCCGATTTCCATTTCCGTCCCACTGCACAAGTAGGCCAGTTGTACACGCAGTCCAGATCATTCCATCTGCAGTTTGAACTATCGCTTCTGTTCTCTTGGATGTATCTTCTACGAATGCCCCTGCACTCCTGGTTGCAACTCGGCGAACAGCATCTGCAGCTCCCATTATTGCATTACGTGATCGTTGCAAGAAGCTACTGCCTTGAGATTTCTCCTTCTTCGATGATGAAACAAATTTAACCTTCATCTCATCTTCTACAGGTTGATCCTGAACCGATTGTGTTTCAACTCGATTCTCAATCTGACCTTCAATATTAAAAACTTTCAGAAGCTCCTTTGAACGGGCATCCCTGCAGCATTTTTGTATATGCATAAGAACCCTTTTCAGGAAGGCACTCTCAAAGAATATCTTTCCCTTGAATTGACCATTAATTAATTTTTATGGAGAAATAAGACACAGTTAGAAAAAAACATACCATATTGAAAAGGAAAGAGGCTGAGCACACCATACTCTAGCTCTAACATGGTCAGATAACAAGCACTTGACATCTGCAGAAGATATATTACATGTACCGTTTACAGTAACTTGGGCCCTGAGGTCAATGAATGACCTCTCCACTAATAGAGCAGCCATGTGCCTTTCCTCCGGCTTAAGAGAAAGAGATTTTTCAATGGATTCCCATGGCCAGATCTTAATAACACCACCTTCTCCACCTGACCACAAATCACCTGGACCAAATACCACATAAATTTCATGGAACAATTAACTGGTAGTAATTAGCTAGGCCTAAGAGCAACAAATAATCATATGCTTGAAATTAAATTCATAGAAATGATCTAACACTACACATAAATTGGACTTGTCCTGGCTAATTATAACCAGAACTTACCTACTTAAAAGTGACATATATTGGAAGAGAAACTAATAGCAAAATGTTCCCAACAAGCAGCTATATATTACCATTATATCAAAGTTAAAAAATAAAATTAGAGGGAAATAGATGTTAACATAAGGATATTCACAGCCATGATCAATCAATGAAAACACACGACAACAATCAGTTTAAGCCTTTCTTTTTCCCATAAATAATAAAAGACTCTTGGGAAGTGGAACAGATGTACAATTTCATTCATATACTTATTCAATAAAAGCCTGCAAAATATATCTTCACTCTAAGAACTATCAATCATGATAGTGATTAATTAAACAGAAGAGAAACCAAATACAAATATAATGTGATTTTCTTGAACAGCTAGCTAGTATACAAGTAACGTGATATACTCATCTCACCTAACACTCGAATATTAGATATTATTTCACTACTTAATGCTCAAGGAGTCACATTCAATTTGCATTCTAATTTCATTTCTACTTATTCTATATAGAGCATTCCATCACAAAATAAGGTTTCTTCGAGCAGAGCTTATAGAGAAGAGTTATTAGCCTAGCTTATAGTGAGCTCACCCACAACATTATTCACTGACTGAAGTTCTTAATTTCCACAATCCAAACCAACCTCTAGTTAATGAATTCCTAAAAAACACATTTTAATCTTAATGTTAACATTAATTAAGTTGCGTGTAAGCTGGTTCGGACACTCCAATTATCAAAAAAAAAATTCTTATAGTTCCAAATTCAACTATTATACATCAAAATTAACCCAAAAAAAAATAAAAAATAAAAAATTACCATGAGAGCTGAAAATCATAGAAAGAACAGGACCACGATGAGCCTGCCAAGACAATCCTTCCTTGAAAGGACTATAATCATCCACGGGCTGGTCCATCTTCCATGACTTAATCTTCCCATCTTTATGTCCCGTCCAAACCAACCTGTTCCCACTATCCACCATCAAGCAAGTCGTCGGCGAAGTGCTCACCGACTCATGAAACGGCGCCGCATCCTCATCTCCTCTCCTCACTCTTATCCCCACCCCATGTCCACGCTCATACGTATCGTCCAAGTTCCAAAACCTCACCCCACTTTCTTGCCCCGCCCATAGCTGCCGTCCCGTGCATGCTATGTTCCTCAAAAACTTCCCCACCTGGCACAAATTTTCCAAGTTAGAACATTAACAAAATATAAAATTTTACAATCATTCAAAGAATTCTGAAAGTTTTGTAACAAGAATTTGGCAGCAGAATATTATTTTACTGAGAATTTTAATAACCTAATAAGTTGGCTTCTTTCGTTTTTATTTTTTTAGTTATTATTTCTGGTCATCGGGTTTAGTTTTTGAAACTTTAATGATTTAGTTTCCTGATTACACGAGAACTTTACTTTTATCCTAACCTAAGTCTACTTCTTTTTTTTTACTAAAGATTACAAATCATTTTTCTCACCTGAGTCTCCCTCAAAGGATGAGGCCTAAGCTCCAGACATGGCGGGCGACCGGGATGAACCGCGGCACGTTTAGGTACTTTAAAAATTCCGCTGCCACCGCCGGCGCCAATGAATTCAGTCAAAGGCTGAAAGGGTCGGTTTTGGTCATTAGCATTTCCTTCGGCACTCAAGTTAACATAATCTTCTTTGACATTATTGGAGGAGGTGGTTGTAATGGGGCAAAACTCGTCGTCAGACGAGTCGTAGAAGTGGTCAGCAATGGTGGTGGTGGAGGGATTGGGGAGTGATTCGAGGCTGTGTTTACGTATAGCAACGCGGGTTATGGGGGTGGAGGAGGCGCGGAGCTGTTGGCTGTAGGAGTGGATTTTGCGGGGAGGGGGAACGGAGCTTAAGGCGGCTAATGCTTTTTTGTCCTCGTCTTCCATAGGAGAAGAGGGCGAGATGAGAGAGAGAGATTGAAGGGTGAAGATGGAGTTGAAAAGTTTTGAGAAAGAAAGAAAAGAGAATGAGGGGTTAGAGAAAAGATCAGAATAGAAAAAGAATGAGTCAAAAGGAGGAGGAGGAGATCCGAGAGGTGAGGAGAATCGGTGATTTTGAGAAGAAGAAGGGCGGGAATTATGCTGAGGACGAGAATGTTTCTCTTCTTTTATTACGCGGGAATTCAACGATTTTGTCCAGCACAATCTGTATTGGTTATCTGTTAGCAAAATTTGAAAATGGGGTAACATGTCACTTTGGTTAAAAAGTTGGGTTAAAAGTTACTCTTAAATTATGCTGGGTCTATTGTTTTAGATAAATTCAGGGGGTGAAATTATATAATTTCATCTGTTTTAAGTCGAGGAAAAAACTTTGTAGCACCTAGTTTATAGATCTACTAACATTCAAGATAAATTAATTTTTTCACTAGCAAAATCGTCTACTGAAGTTACTAAATTCCGTTACTAAGTATAGTATTTTTGTGTAAACTCCAACATTCTCCTAAATTAAAAAACTTCAAAATGTCAAATACATCCTGATTTCACATTTTCACTTCTTCTAAATAGAGTAATTGATCCAGCAATTTGCTTGGTTTAAAAATGTAGGATTTATAATATTTATGATAGATTGTTGTCAGAGTTTAGGTTAAGATTATGTTAGGTATAGATTTGGGCAATTTTTGTTTCTTTGTTATTGTTGAAGTTTTTTTGATGGCTTATTGCTTGATTATTGTGATTGAATGTTTGTGAAGAAGTGATTTTATTATTTTGTTGGAAGAAACAAATAAATGGGAGTGATGGGAAGTCACAAAAAATCGCGAAATGGATTGCAAATTTCGCCCGATAGACTTTATTGAGCACAATTTGGCTAATCGAGAGAAGATTTGAAATGGTGGTGAAACCCCCTATTGATGCAAAAATCCGCATTAGGCTCTCGATTGGCCTAATAACAAAAGGTTGCGCACCAAGGCCCAAGTTTGGTTGGCCCAATAACAACAGGCTCTACGTTAAGACCCAACTCTAGTTGGCCCAATAGTAGATGCCTTCATGCCACGACCTAACTTTGGTAGGGCTCATGCCAAAAGCCCAACTGCGGTTGGCCTAAAAGCTTAAGGCTTAGTGTCACAACCCAACTCCGGTTGGGTCCATCTTAAAATCCATCATGTAAGAGGACTATCCAACAAAATGGCTTATTCTATAAGAAGGATCGCTCTATGGGCCAGCCCATTCTACGAGTTGGTCCATACCATGAATCAACCTGCTTCATGAGTTGGGCTACTTTATGAGTTGGGATCACTCTACAATCAAGGTCCCCCTATGAATTAGGCCAACCTACATTTTGGGCCATTCCACGAGTTGGTCATTTCTACAAGAAAAGTTACCTTAGCTTCAACCCATCAGTCTACACTCATCCTAGAATAGTACTCTAAATCCCATACATATCTTAGTTCATCCAAGACTCTTAGTCTTACATGAACTAGTACCCTACTCCTACATGGATTAGCATTATGAGTTTCCTGTTTACTCAAACTCCTATTGTGAGAACACCTAGTTCTACAAGGACTCAAGCTTTCTTGGCGCACTATATAAATAGAGGTCAACTCTCATTATAGAGAAAATCACAGCCCCTCTCTCTCGCTTACTAAGATTTTGCTCCCAAGAACCACCGTAGAGTCGAGTTTTGACCACTCTACGTCGATAATTGTTATAAAGCTGAGTTCCGGCCATTCTACGCTGATAAGTCGCACCCTAGCTCCGCTCCTGGTAAACCTGGCTTCACTTATGGTAAACTCTTTCTCGCTCTCAACCTTACTAAATATCTCACAATCGTGTTGACTTGAGCGTCGGAGTGGCTACGACTGATACCACACCGATATCCCTAAGTGTATTGCGTTCACTTTTCTTTGTCTTTGCAGGTCTATGAGATTGTCAGTGGCATCAGCCTCACAGGATCATTCTTACGACATTTCGAGTAGGTTTTATCCAGTGGCGAATCCGACTTTTTACAAGATTCATTGTAGAAAAAGCCCTTTCAATGGTCGCAGTCACAACTGGTAAAACAAATGAAAGTTTCACAAGCTTATACACCAACGGATACAAAATGTTTTTCTTAAACCGAACTAAATTCCTAGCCAAATCACCAATTCATTGTAACTCAACAAATTCATCACAAGAATGCATGTCAATAACATAAGTCTCAGCCTGGTTCTCAAGTATCATCAACTCAAGTGAAGAAAAATCAGGTGGATAAAACTGGGCAAAACGGATCAACTTATGTTTATCAAAAGCAGTTAATGAATTACTTGAATCTAAACGTCATACAAAGAAGCGACTCAGTACTAGCCTTAGCGAAATGAGTGTTAAGTTTTTGAAGTTGCATATCTACATTGTATAAAACAATTCAACTCAATAGTGATGCAAATTTTTCATGTGCTCAACTCTCTGTCGTGGCAGCCCTCGCATTGCAAACATATCATCCATATTCAAAATGGCAATATCATGCTTTTGGCAAAATGAAGAAACTTCACTCAACAAAGATTCCCATCTTTCATCTCTCAACAATTATAACTGTTGTTTGGAAACTTTGACTACGGCCATAGGATTTACAATGTCTTCATCTTTTTTCTACAATGCTTGTGACAATTCATTAGTAATTGCCAATATACTTTTTATCATATGCAAGCTAACTGCAAAATCAGAGGAATAGATTAAATCTAATAGATTACATGCTTCACCCCTTGGTTCAGGATTTAAATCATCTTCTTCAATAACCTTAAGCACATCACCCATAGAGGAGAACAAAAGGATTAAGTTGATCAATGCATAATAATACGAGCCCCAACAGGTATTGCCAACTTGTTTTAGACTTGTCTCTTGATTCAAACCTCGTCCCTTGCTAACTTCACCAATTTCTAGTGCTTCAACAAGTTTGCTAACTTGGCTCTCCCAAACCATGTCTTGACGCTTGCATGAATCTCCAACAACATTTATCAAATTAGTAACCAAGCTGAAAAACGAAGCAATAAAAATGTGATTTTTTTCAATGGCTACTAGTGTCAATTGAAGTTGGTGAGCAAAACAATGAACATAATAAGCATATTCATTCTCCCTCAAAATTAAACTTTTCAGACTATTAAATTCTCTTTACATATTACTTGCCCCGTCATAACCTTGTCCACGTAATCTTGACAAACTCAATCCATGCTTAGAAAATAATGACTTAAGAGCCATCTTAAGTGATACTGTAGTTGTGTCACTAACATGTACAATGCCAAGAAACCACTCAATCACATGACCCTTTTTATCTACATAACGTATGGCAATAGCCATTTGTTCTTTAATTGACACATCATGAGACTCATCAATCAAAACTGAAAAGATGTCATCTCCAAGATCATTAATGATAGCCTTTGTGGTTTCATTTGTTGTAGCATTCATAATATCTTTTTGAATCACTGGTGCTATCAATTTAAGATTCCTAGGTGCATTCTTCAAAACAACACTAAATGTTCATTGTGCTGAGCTAGAAAATGAAGAAGTCCGAGAAAGTTACCTTGGTTCTTTGAGTCTTCAATTTCATCATAACCAAGAAATGCCAACCCTTGACGCGAAAGAAATCTAATGCAAACAATAGATGTAGTCAAACGAGTTCGATATTTAGTCCTAACTTGATATGATTGCTTAGAGAGAGCCACTTCGATATGTTGCTTTTGATTCATTAAATTCACACAACTCTGTTATGCTTGGTTATGGGCACTATTTGGTTGGCCAACATGAATTTCAAAGCGTTCAAGTTCCTTCTAATTACGAAATCCCCCATCGACGAAAGCGTCACTACCAACTTAGCTTATAATGGCAGGTCTAAAAAGATAACAATACAAGTAGAATGCAAGATCTTTGGTCACACTACACTCAAGCCAATTGCCATGCACACCAAACCAAGCAAGATTAAATTGACAATATCTTTTTCCAAATTTTGTTAGTGGAAATGCATGATTTCGAGGTTGGCAACAACTCTTTTGTAAGTAAAATCTTCGAATTGCATCCCTATAATTAGGATGATAATGATTGATTTAGGCCATAAAGCTATATCAGACTGAAGATCTTTTAAGATGGCTTCTAGTTCTACATGACTTTCCTTTGATGGATCATTTTCTTTATCATTGACTTTATTTTCTCGGACTGATGAGGATGATTGGTCTATTACTGATTTTGTTTTGAGAAATTTATCCATATTGCATACCTAATAAGAAGTTTTAAACAAATAAAACAATAAGAAATTATACAAGAATAATAACCCATCGTGATTTACATACATAGTAATGGAAAGACAATAAGAATATTGAAAATGGAAGCCTCAAGCACTCTTTTCTTTGACACCTAACACCAAAGGATAACAAAAAATCAACAAACTAACACTTAAATAGTTAAATTAAAGAAAAGATGAAGAAATTCACTAATTAAACCCCCTGCATGTGTTACTCGAAATCAAATGGGAGTTACCTGTTTCAAAATTTCTCCTCCACTTTTGCTTCACTTTCGCTCTCACTCCTCCTCTATCACTCTACCTCTCGGCCAAACCCATTCTTCCCTCTCTTCTCTTTTTCCTTTTCCTTTGCTTTTTCTTCCTTTCTTCTTTATGGGTTTTTCTCTCTTCGTCTTCATTTTGGGCGAACATCCTAATTTATATATAAAACAACTTCTTGGAATTATAAACTGCCCCAAAATTCTCTTATTTTCACCATGACCCTGCCACATCAGCTTTCTATTGTAAAAATGCCCAGATTTCTCCCCTCAGATACATACAAACCCAACTGCTCTTATTCCTTTCATTTCACTCTCAATAGAACTTTTAAAAACTAATAGATCCCTTTGCATAAAAATGAAAATCACAAAGAATATGTAATAAATATATTAGGATTAAAAACGGGGTTTTACAAAAACAAAAT